TTCTCTGTTTAAATGTTGACTCGGTCCGCAACTGACCTTTTCTTCCTCTTCTTAACTCATCCCATCTTTCTGACCCTCCTTGACCGTTTTCTCAGACTCTCATTTGTTTCGTTCCTTCTTTCACTTTTTAACTTTTTACCTCTGCTATGGCTCCGCTCGTCAGCCTCGTACCAGAAACGATCGACAACACCCTGGGTGCGGTATTCTTGGGATTATTAAGTGCATGCTTGTGCGTGTTATCATTTTATTTTATACTCCCAGGGTATCCACGCTTATCGTTTCACCAGTCTTTTCGGGATAACAACTCTCCAAGCGTACTTCTACTTCCACAATTACCCCCGGGACACGATCGTCCATCGCCTATCAGTGGGCGTTTTATACCTCCTCGACACGGTCCACCTCGGACTCACTATCCATGCGATGTATTTCTATATCGTCGCTAATCGCGGCAGGGGATTGGTGGAAGCGGGTCCTGGAATTGTTTGGTCGATCAAGGTACTTTTCAGGATAACCGGGCTAACGAGTACCGGAGCTAAGATACTATTTTTGTCCAGCTACAAGTAGCGATAATGGTCGTGATCATTCTCTTTGTGCAGAGGTAGCTATCTACTTCTATTTCTCACAGATGATACGATGTTGATTGCCGTTTCGCTTCAAGTCTTTACGCGCTCCGAATTTGGCTATTGAGTGGGTACCACCGCGGGTTCCTCCGGTACCTTGCGGCGCTGAGCGTCGCTGGTGGCTTTGGTATCGGTATAGGTTAGTGTGATAGTGCTCCTTCCGCGTTAACTGCCTTCTGACTCGTTGTTTCAGCGTTAACATACGAAATGTACGGTACCCTTTTCAGTTGGGGGAATGTCAACTGACGGATGATATAGATACACGGCTCCAACGTTCTCATCCCTCGTGTTTGATAATAAGGCTTGGGCGATGGAGTCATCCCTGGCGGCCTCCACACTTATCGATTTCGTGCAGGCGTTCGCGATGTGCTATTATCTCCGCAAAAGCCGGGGTACAGAGTCCGAGTGAGTTCATCTGATGTCTTTTCAAGTTATTCCTGACATCAATCTAGTCTGAATTCGCGCATCTTCGCTGTGATGCAGTATACCCTCAGTTCGGGACTTGTCACGAGTGCTTGTTCGTTGGCCGTGTTGTTTACTGTAAGACCCTGATTATTTCTCATGCTTAATCTTACCAGTTATTTTAGTACGTACTTGTGCCAAACACGCTCATATTCATCGCGCTGGAATTTTTGTTGACAAGATGTATGGTTCTTTTATCTTCCACTTCATAACAGAGTTTCCAATGGCCTCAATTTATAGTATACGTCGGCTCGTTCTTAGCTATGCTCAACGCAAGGCAATTCCCAATCCAAGGCCGCCAGGAACTCGATCCGGTTGCGTCAATGTCAATGCCGCCTCGCTTCAAGCACTCGAGCATCCACTCAAGCGTGCGCTCTAGTCTGAAACACTCAATCCGGCTCAAACACCTCAGCTCCGGCTCAAAGTCTTCGCCGAGTTCTGTGAGTTCTCCGTCCTTGTTTTTCTCATCATTTCCAGCTGACCCTAGAACCTACAGAGCGAAGCAGAATGCCAATGGGACATTGTCACGCCCGCCCCATTGCCTGCAAGGGTGCGAATGGGAGGACAAACGGTCAAAATGTCAATATTTTAGTAAAATATTTTGTGCTTGAAGGGTTTTACGTTGGGTACTAGAAAATTTGTATCATATAGCATCCTCTCTTTTGATTTTCGACTAAATGAGAACTGGGTTTTCATTCTATTCTCTCTATCGCCGCGCAACTGTATGACCGTATGAAACCGGGACAAGCATTCTCATGCCACTTCAGTTGTATTGTCACAGGTTTTTTATTCAGTTAATTTGCTCACTCAAGGGCCCTGTCAAAAGATTTCTGTGGCCGTCGTTCTCCACTCCCCATGCAGCTACTATTCGGGCTCCCATGAAATAAGGTTGTACTGTCCAGTCATATTTCGCCCACTTCAATTCGTTCGCTCCGGCGAATCAACGTCGTAGAATTACCTGCCGCTGAGAGGTCTATTCGCTTCTTGTCCCTAGCCTAGATTAGATCGGCTGATCCGCGAGTCGACAACGCCCAATCCCCATGCGTCATCTAATCTAATCTCCGAGTCCAGGCCTTTTGATGACGGGCGCATTGGAACATTTTCGTTTGCTTCCACCATCATCCAGTATACCCTCCCAGTCGTCTCGTCATCCCGTCCTGACCCTTTCGCCTTCTTCTGTCCATATAAATCGTCACTTTTCACTTGCACTGCTAATCTCTACCATCCTGGCTGGCCGAACACCCAAATTCATGGACGTTTTCAATCCCAAAATTCTCGATGCTTGCATTCGGGATGTTGCATACTGCCTTTCGGATAACCAGAAAGCGGATCTGTTGCTTTATGCAATGACGAGTCTCAAGTATGCTAGGTGCGACCGTTTCCCAGCAATCCCCTGCAACGCTCGCCTCTTTCACTATCTGTTCTTGAACATATTTCACTAACGACGACTTTGACAGACATAAAGTCGTTATCGAAAACGCTATCCAGGCCTGCCTATCGATCCATGCACTCTCCCCGTCAATCGTTGCCAAGGCTCGGATCCTACGTGCTCGTCTACGACTGGATGCCGGCTCGTTTATAGGCGCCCAAGAAGGTACGTCCCAACGCTTCTCCGTATCGGAACACCGCTCAAAGTCGGTCTCCAGATCTCCACGCAGCTCTGCTCGCAGAACCTGATAATCCAGAAGCAACTGCACTGTTACACCAACGCTCCGTCGCCGTGGAGAAGGTGAGTACCCTCTCAGTTACGAACCAGAGTAAATGACAAATTTAACCCCAGCTTCTCGCTCCCACGGGGCATCGGATCTCTAATGAAGTATGGCGCGAAATAGCCTTATTTCTTCCTCGTCGTGATTTGAAAACACTCCTCTCGGTCCCCCATCCTCTATCACGCGTAGCGTCCCAGCTTCTCTTCCGAAAGGTCGATCTTCATTTCGGCGAGGGCGAGGGAGGGCAACCGTTCGACGAGGGAGAAGGAGGGGAATGGGAAAAAGAAAGAGACAGAGATCAACGAACGGCCGACATCCTCACCCGCGTCATTACCGACCCTTCCTTCGCCAGCGTCGTCCGCACCCTCCGGATCTTCGCCACCGTCAACAGCCACAACTCGTTCCAGACAGGAATACTGTCGAATGCTCTCCCGAAGATGATAAATCTCCGGAGGGTGCACATATCTTCGAGTGCGGACGGTGTCCTGCCCGTGCTGAAGATTCTCCAATCGTGTTCGCCGAAGCTGAATGGTCTCTCACTGCATGTCCCTGATGGGCTGTTCGAGCTGAGCACCCTCACTTTGAACCATATCGCCAACTTTGCTTATCACGGTGGTGGCAGTGGCAGCGGCGGGGCGCAGAACCCCCATGCTTTCCTTGCCCAGCATCGCTCAACATTACGAACGCTCTCCCTGGAGAACCAAGCATGGGTATTCCCCGCCGACGCCCTTTCCCTCCGCAACCTCACCCACATCCATTTCCTCGGACAATTCCCCCTCAACAGCCAAGCCATCGGGACGATTCTCAGTCACGGCAGGCAACTCGAGTCGCTCTCCCTCACCTGCCTCCTCGACTGCGCTCCTTCTTCCCAATTTCGCGTCGCTCAAGGAGAGCTTCCCTTCCTCCGACACTTTGCTTTCTCAGTCCAAGCGATGAACCGACGACTGACGGACCGCGACCTATTTCCTTCCATAGCAGAGTTCTTGCGAGGCCGCGTCGACCTTCGTACGCTGTCTCTTCTCGTCCCCGCAGAGCCTATTCAGAAAGCCGTCGGCTTTGACGCGTCAGTTTGGGGTGTGTTGCCCAGTCTAACGGGTCTCAAAGGACTGGGGATAACCTACCCGAGGGACCTAGCGCCTGGTCTTGCAGCGTGGCTGATCCCTCGAAGCGTCGTCAGCCTCACCCTCAACGGGCTGGTCGCTGGGATGCGAGATCTCCGTCTCGGTGTACCCCCAGGTCTGCGGTTTGTCGGGCTCGACACGAGCGGGATGGGAACTGGCGAAGTTGCCGGTATCGTCGAGCAGGGATTTCCCATGGTGAGGGTCGTCCGGGTCGCCTCAACATATTGGACCGTGCATAGGAAGAAGAAAAGCGGGAGGAAAGGCGAAGATGGAGGTTTCGAGCTGGAGAGGTGGCCGGTGAGGAGAGGGCGGTATCATGTTAGGGAATGGCTCGAGTGGTTCGGCTGCGAGGACGCGTTGGGCGTTGAGGATATTTATGGTATCTGAGTTTGCTTTGGATTGGATTTTACTGTACATGCTGTATCATTGGGACTTCGCCGTTAATCATTATCTATATGTGGAACAGTTGTATGGCAGCATGAGCAGCATTCGTTGATGATGACGGTGTTTTCCCGGACGGACTCTATAAGCTCGAGCCGTGTGTTGGGGAAAGCTTAGGGCAATGATGATGCTCTTCGTGCTCTTGATGGGATTTCAATTGTGGCAACAGAATGGTATTGGTACCGGCACAAGGTCACAATACTCATTAATGTCAGGGTTGCGGGCCTGGCCGTTCCAAAGTGATCGATCTTGTTGACAGATAGACCTCGAAATTGGCGGTAACATTCAAGATACATATCCCCAACAACCCTGCTACCATGATCAAGGACATTTTGCTAGATCGTGTACATTCCGGCTTGGCTTATGTCGCACAAAGTACGGCCGTGAAAAAGAATTATGTCCAGGTGTGTTTGCGAAATATCTGATTCTTTAGGACTGTTTTCGTGGATCCAAATGATTCAAATTCGTCCTGTCATCATTACGATGGGAACACAATGTGCCTGGTTGTTTGGCGCCCCGTCATGATTTGATATACTGGTATGTCCAGCAAGAAAACTAGGATCTTGTCTACGTGGAGGGATAGATGAATTCAAGATTACAATTGACTACCCGGCCTTATAAACTCTTTCGTTAGCACAACACTTTATGCATTAGTGGTGTAATGGTTAACATGTGGTCTTCCCATTTCTGAGTGGCCGCGTTCGGGGTTCGATTCCCCGCTAATGCATTGCGCCAATCACCGGCAATAAGATTTTTGGTGATTTCCATCATCCGATGAAAGGCTTAGATATTCAAATGGTTTGACGTTTAAATAAACAATACTTATTGTTCCTTGTGCAAACCGTGCAATGGAACTCTCATTGTTACCTTTCTCCAGCCATACTACATAAGTGCTAAATCGAATCGAAGAACCGAAAACCGTCAGAGTTCTGCAGGCAAGTTTCTATGCAGGAGCTGCTGGGATGATAACGAGACCCGGAGTCTGCGGGATTGACCACATGCAGCCGCCGGTAGCGAAGAAAGAGTACGTCAATGCGGCGGTGGCGACAGACGCAGGAATGTATTACGAAAACGGGCGTGGATGCGCAGTGTAAACCCCACAGCGCAGCACGAAGATCCCGCCGATCATGGATTCATGTTTGAAATGCGAGTGTAAGAGAATCCTAGTACATTAGGCCCGAGAAATAAATATAAAGTAGGTATAACGAGGGGCTTTGCATGAATAAGCGAGGGGAGGTCCATCCAACCGTCATTTTCCTTCAATTGCGACGCGACATATCGAACAGAAACCCGGCGACTCTAGGCGAAAATTGAAAAGGAAAGGTAGACTAGAAGAACACACATAGGGCTCCACCAAGGCCGGCGACCAGCGCTGCACCCATGCCCATGAGAGCTCTCCATTCCACCAACGCCGGCAGTGCACCCGACACAGCCGGAAAGGTCGTCACGAAACCCTGTGTTGGATTCGGCGATCCACTCACCGTGACGGTAGCAGCGGCACTATCTGGCGTGGGAGTCGAACCAGACGTGGATGTAACGGTGCTGGAGGAATTGAGCACGCTAAACCGGGGGGAGGTGGTATACATCACCCCGTGTGTCGAATTCAGGAAGAGCAGGAAATAATCGTCCGCTGCTGGGATGTCTTCGAGGTATACATTTAATGACGATGGTGACGCTTTGTCGGCGGGGACTAGTGAAAAAATGAGGGTTAGGGTTGGAAAAGAGGGCATGTGCACGCACCTGTACTGGCGATATAAGTCAGCCCATCCTCACTGAGCCTCGTCATCTCCACATCGAACGAATCGACCCCATCTAGCACGCCCTTCTCCCAGGATACCACATTCACAGCGCCGTTCCGCCATTGCGCATTTTCTGCTGGCTCCGTTATCACAAAGTACGCTGTTGCAAAATGTTAGAAAAACCGTCAAGGCGGGCAGCACAAACTGACCAGAGGCAGCGGTGGCGACGACGAGGGGTATAGGCAAGACATTTGATAGCCGCATGTTCGTTGTTTTGGGTGTGGTCGTATAAGGGTATGAGTCCGTAGAGTCGATGGAAAACAGAGAATGAAATCGTGAATGAAGGAGGGACCGACGGCGACTTCAGATGAGACAGGCGGGCGCAGCAGTGGGCGGGATAGACGGAGGGAGAAAACAGGAGAAACGTGACAGATTGATTGTCTCGACATTTTATTTGCTCGTGTTTTCGTTTCAGGGGGCTGACTCCTAACTCGCTGATGACGTCGATTGGTATCCATCTTCCATCCGCGCGCGATAAACATCTGCGCTCGACGTCGACACGGAACTCGCCACGGAAACTGCAATTTTTTTGTATGATTCTTACTCTTTGCTGAACGTAAAGTCATCTGGCCAAAATGCATCCGCGGCGAGCTGAGACCGGTGAAACATACGGTTGCGGTCGGCTGTTTTCTGCGACGGCCAATTATTGATGCCGATATCACGTCCGGTCGCATTCCTACCTCTTGTCTTCCCTTATCTTCTCATCGTTATGTGCCGTTACCATGACTTCTCGTCTATCTTGAGTTTGCACCAATCTCTTTAGGCCAGTTCAGAGAACTCGCCTCCACTACTGTTTAAGGCTACTTTCCTTGCTCTGCCCACTTTCCTTACACTATCCTTTCCACTCGCGGTGCCTTTACTCTCCTTGTTTCAACGGCCTCTGAGTGTACTGCACGGTATCCTAAGTTTCCGGAGCGCTGATCCCGACGAACGGTGGCTAGCAAAACATCCGAGGAGACAACAGGCTGATACTATCCGAATACGTAGGACGCCGCATTTCCACGTGCCGAGCGTTTGCACAGCCGGGCGCGTTCCATTCATCTCCGCGATAGTTTCCTCCACACGAATCTGCATCTTCGAATATGGCAGTTAAGCGTTTTATCATCGCCCTTCATGTTTCTGTAGGCTAGCATCTGGTCCTCTTGGGTAGTCGCACTCCTATAACTTCAAGCTCCTCATCAATACCGAAACAGGAAGAACTGCCTTCGCTAATGATTGTCATTACCCACCTAAGAGCGAAGGCCAAGACGCCTTCATCTACTAGGTGTCTTTGCAATCTAGTCCGCTCAAAAGTCACTGACTGCCTCTCGTTTTCTCAAACAGCGTATATCTTTGTTCGCGGGTTTGCTACATGTGCACGCATATGCCTCGGCACAGGACCTAACCACTACAAAACTCATCTGCTCAATATGTTTTGTCGGGAAGCCGAAAGTATACAGTTGCCGTGGCGCCCGCAGGAGATGATCCATATCAATACCAGGGTTCGAATCCCGCTCGAAGTATGTCCGAGATTTTCGATATTCTTTTGTTACTACTAGTCTATGTAAGGATGAAATTCATCTGGATCTCTTCTCCCCTTCTTGATGAACGGCATCCAACCCTGGTCGTACGTACAATAGGACACCCAAGGCATTACAACCGTCCTAACATGTATTGAGATGTCAGAAGAACAATCATAATATTCGGGCGACTCTGGTTGCACCGAGGATAAGCTGTTGACTTTGAAAGTAACTCGTAGTAAGAGATCGCCCGTGTAGGGATTACTTAGAAGCAGAGCCAAGAAATAAGACAGGTACTCATGTTGAAGTCAGTAGCTAAAATGTTTGCCAGTGCAATGCAGGCCCCCAGAAGCTCCCGCCAAACTTTGTCCGGCAAATTCGCGGAAATTGGACCTCAAATATGCGTCATTTGGGCGGACAAAGATCTCCGGCCCGCGACTGCCGGAAAGCTGCCGGTCCTGCCGATTGCGTTGCCAAACTGCCTTTTAACAAATTCTTGCTAACGTCGGTGCTCTGCAGAAGGATTTGGTGAGGAATCTGACGATAGAGTGAATTTCTCATGGTTTTTATGCGTGCCGGAACTGCCCTTTCGACCCCGCGACCGCCCAAAATATGCTAAAATCTGGACAAAGTTTAGCGGGAGCTTCTGGGGGCCTTGCAATGCTCAAAAAATGCTGGTAAACCGAGTACCGGCTTATAATCCTTGATAATATGAAAGTATGAAAATGGACATGATATTTAAAGACATCGAATCGAGCGCAAGGAGTCTTTCTGGCAGTAAACATCACAAGGATTAGTGAACTATGAAGTCAATATGAAGTTGCTGATTGGGTGCGGGGAATTCGGCCCGCCCTTACGAAAGTCACCTGATGGCAAGTCGTTCCGAAATCCGAACTGCGTCCGAATCTTGATTCTCCGGAGACTTGTCGCGGGTATTCAAGTGACCACGTTAAACACATGGTGCTCTGCAAGCATCCGGCGCTTTTCTGTATGGCCAATCAACCACCCCAGTCCTTGATGCCGCCGGTGCCACGTCCGATCCTGTTGCTCGCTCAATGCATCGTGATGTTCCACTGCTCTGTTGGCAAAGAAGCTTTGCTGCTCAGGGATCCACTCATTTCAATAGGTGGTGGCGAGCAAAACATCCGAGGAAAAAATACAAGCTAGCATGCTTCTTATATCTTGTTCCACCACGGTAGTCGCACAGCTCCTTCATCTGCGTCATTCCGTTCACATTCCGTCCCCAGCTATCGCACTACGACGAAGCCAGGTTGTCGCAAAGCCTCCGCGCTGCCTCGCTGGCGTTCCAACCCCATCTTCCTAATTTGTTTCCTCCAGATACAAGACAACTAGTCGGAACCTCTATAACTGCCGCTATATTGCACCATCCCATGAACCACTTACTCCAAATTTTGCGTCATCCCACATATCGGTTTTACCCTTCTTCGTCCTCTTCTGCTCATGGAGCGGATTGCTTTGGCACATGCAACTGTATGATTTCTTGGCCCGCAGCTTACCGCAACCCTTGGGCCTAGGTGGTCATCAAATTGCTCTGGCGAAGCTGACCATTCACTATCCAGCACTTCCCGAATTCCTACATCCATCTGTTCCATCCGTTTGGCTGACCGTTGGTCCCGGTAGACCCGGAAGCACTTTTTGAAAAGCGATACCTGATCCCAACTCCCGGTCCGTACACACTCGCGGAACTGCCAATTCATTCGTGCTCAAAGACACTCTGGGTATCCACATCACCGTAAAGACGGGCCCTTTGTTGTGGAGAGTTTTCCTCTGCGCTCAAGCTCACTGGTGGTCAGAATGTAAGTCGCCTCGGTCCTCGCATATTTCTGTACAGAGCCTTAGACAATGATCATCTTCCTTCGTCAGTTTTCTTCATGTGGTTTCTTTCTCCTGAATTCCCTGATGCGGTACACAGTTCCCGGATCTTGCTGATAAAGTTTGTTTTCCCCATAGGTGCCTCATCAACCGCAAATCATTCGAGTCGATGACGTTCTGATTGTCCACTCTTTGGCTGAGTACGATTAGGCAACCCCCCTGGATGCCTTATCATGATCATGATCATCAGTCCGCTGTAGGATGGTGTTAAAACGATATTTCTCCGTTTCTGCCCCACACTCTATTTCCGAAACTACTGGGCAACGATAGGCAGCTCTTTCAAGTCACGTCCGAAAGGAACGTAGAAAAGCAGTAACCGTCCTCCTCCACTTTATTGGCTTACTATCTATTTGGCTTCTGTTAAATAAGGCCAGCTAGACCTGATAAGCGTTCCCTCGAACACCCATCAGAACACATCGAAGCCGCACTCCGCCAACCACTCATGGCAGTAACAATATGCCGTATTTCCCATGTCTTACGCTCGTCGTATAAGGGACGACCCCACATCGTACGAGCGCTAGTGTCGCGTCGACATG